GGAAAACTATGTAGAATATTCAATAGCATATCCTAAACCTGAAATTTTTTTAAAAATTTAATATTCTGAAGTGTTTATGAGGTATAGAATAAATGTGTTTTAAATAAGAGTTTGTTAAATAAATTAATTACCATGCCTAATAATGAGATGTTCTTTTAAACCCTAAATCTGTATTATATATCAAGTGCTTAGAGTGAAGGATGGACTTTTGGAAGGGTAACAAACCACTTTTCTCTGGAATAACCTAAAGCCACTCCTTTTGCAAACTTTATTTCAGAACTATTTCTTTCAAAAGGAAAACTCAAGTCATTCCACTTAGTTATTTCACCACATTAGTTTGCTATAAGGTTCATGCTGTTAGTTAATGCTAGAAATGAGCCCAAATCCCAGGCCTGAGACTCCCATGCCAATATTCTTTTTGCCACATTACACTGCTTCCTCTATCTGGCAAAAAGGGTTTTTTTTTTTTTTTTTTTTAAATAGCAGTTTAAAAATAAATTTTATCTGTATAGCAAAATTAAGCTGTAACACTATATACATTTTTTTAAAAAATCACAAAAGAAACAGACAAAAGAGCAAAGGTCAAAATAATGCTAAAAATGCTAAACTGATTTAGAAAGAGTTGTAATTACTATACAAAACAAAATATATTTAAAAGGTGCCATCTACATAAATGTATATATTGTCAACTTCACTATCTGAAGTCTTCTTGGAAGTTAAGTCGTAAAATTTCAGATGAATATTGAAAAAGGTTAAAAAATATGCATCAGTTGAAAAAGAAATGAAACTGCAGGAGAATATGTTTTTGTTTTTTTCTTTCTTTCAGAGGCTATGTGGCCCCTCCCACTTGTTCTATGCCCCGCCTGGTTATTTCTTGATGTTCTTTTTTCTACTGCATCCATCCTGCATCTCTGCGCCATTTCAGTGGATCGTTACATAGCCATCAAAAAGCCAATCCAGGCCAATCAATATAACTCACGAGCTACAGCATTCATCAAGATTATAGTGGTGTGGTTAATTTCAATAGGTATGTGGGGAGTGTCAGGGTGTGGGGTGGTGTATATAGGGCCTTTGGTTCCTTTTGGCTAGGACATTATCAGGCCTGGTAGTGATACATCAATACAAACTCCTCATAACATTACATTCATCATATAGCTTCTAAACCATTCTATCAGAAAAAGGGTGAAAAAGCAGAAAAGTTCATGGCTTGTTGTTGACATGCAGGAAGACTAAATCTGAAAAAGTTTTCGTATTTGTCAACCAATCATTATGTACTAGGTAAGTACTAGGTAAGCATGCAGAATCCTGAAATTTTATTAAAGTAACATCGAAAAATGACATGCATCTTAAATCACACCTAAGAAAATAAATAGGAAATGAGAAAAAAGAATCATTTTATGTCATTATCAAAGTTCATATAGTCACCTTGGAAATTAATATGTATATAGACTAGACACATAACTGTCTGTTTAAGTGTTTTGAACACATTTATAAATTCTTTTGGGACTTCCCTGATGGTACAGTGGTTTAAAATCTGCCTTGTAACGCAGGAGACATAGGTTTGATCCCTGGTCGGGGAACTAAGATCCCGCATGCTGTGGGGCAAATAAGCCCATACGCCATCACAACTACTAAGCCGGTATGTTACAACTAAGACCTGACTTGGCTAAATAAATAAATATTAAAAAAATAATAATAATAATAATTCTTTTTTGGCTATACTGCATGGCATGTGAGATCTTAGATCTCCAACCACAGGGACTGAACCTGTACCCCTTGCAGTGGAAGTGTGGAGTCTTAACCACTGGACCACCAAGGAAGTCCTTGAACGTGTTTAATTAGAAATGTTAAGAGAGATACAAATGATGTTCAGAAATAATTTTTGGAAGAAATTATATTTCTTAACTGTTTTATGCCCCTGTGCCCATCTTTAATACTCAAAAATAGCTGCTATATTAGAGTATCTGAGCATGAAGTAAAGCACAAATGGTAACTCAAATGTTTTATAAGTTAATATCACAAAAACAAACAGATTCACAACAGTTACTATGATCATTAACAGTTTGACTAGTATGTTCACTTCCTCCTAGTAAGGAAAATTCAAAGAGGAAAAAAATCAAGAGAGACTTGAAATAATCGAGAGACCTGAAATGCTAGAAAGAAATCTAGTAAAGATGTGACCTCTCTCTCTAATGAGAAAAAAAAAGACACTGGGGGTTAGGGGAAAAAAACAAGAAAGCAAGACACTGAAAATGACCTACATATTCTTGGAATAAAGATACCAAAGCCAACTCTCTTTTGAAAAGTTTGGAGGTTAAAGTAAGGAGTGTTAACTACTCTGGTTTGGGAAGAAATTAAGAGTCAAGAGGAAGTCTATTTATCTGCAAGCAGTGAGAAAAAGCTAACTTTGGGGAAAGAGGCTGATTGATAGAACAGAAAAGGCCCCTAAAAAGGAAGCTACGGAAAGGACATCAGAGATAATGGGTGACAACTGCCAAAATTTAAAGTGGAGAGAAGGAAAACTGAAGTTCATGTCAAAAACCCCATATCTTTTTGGTAAGTTCAGGGCAACGGAGAGAGAAGGAAAGGGAAACAGTGTGTGTTGCCGTAGGGTGGAAGCGAGGGGTGGGATGGGGGACAGGGCAAAGGTGGAGGAAAAATAGGAGAAACGGCTCCTTAAGAATTAAAACATTTGAAACTGAAATATATATTCAAGCCAATATACAGCCTGTTGGTAGAAGTTGTACCTCGATTAAGCCTGGATGACATGAATTTATACTGATAAAACTGATCAAATTTACATTGAGTGCTTATATGTTAGACACTAAGAATACAAAAATAAATAAGAAAAAGAATCTTCTCACTCAGGAAGATGGTCAAGCAGTAAGTACTAAGTATACAGGAAGAAAAGAATAAAAAGATGACCTCAGATTTACAGCTTACAAGTGATCTTACAAACCTATTTTTTCCTTCTATAGATAAGAAACCTAGAGGTTTTAAACAGTTGGCTTAAAGACTTATGATTTTTGGCACAAAGGCCAAGATCAATGCCATTTTCATTTCATCACACTCTATGCTGTAGAACCAATGACAATTTAACAACTTTGTAAAAGAAAAGGCAGATCATTATGTTAGTTCAGTTTTTAAATTCTGTAAAGTGCTGAAGAGAGCTCACTTTCTTCTTCTGGATTTATAGTTATCCCAGGTAACACCTGACAACAGTAAGGTCTGAAAGGAGAGTAACAGGGTAAGGTATAAAAAATACCAGAGAAAACAAACGTCACTGACCAACAAGTTGGTTGAGAAGGTAACGTGAGCCTTGATGGGAGTTAATGGAATGTGGGAAAAAGAGAAGGATGAATTAGAGGTCAAGATAGCTGTGAAAAGAAGTTCTACAGTAATGAAGAGCAGCAGGACAAGAAAGGGAAATAACAGTTCATGATTTTAGATATAGGATAATTTTAAGTGGACTTATGGATGGCTTCAGGAATGCAAACAAATAACTGGAGGTGAAGAGTTCAAGGAATAAAACCTTAGGTGTTAGAAGAATCATCAATGGGATGAAATTATGGAAGATGACAGCAATGGAACAGGGGATAGAGAACTATGGCAAAGGGCTAAGACCATTAAGGAAGACAGATAACACGCCCCAGAGGTTGGCAGAGGATCGAGGTGGAGAGCAGTGTGAGTAGCTTACACAGGCTTTGAAAGAGAAGTGCTTTGGGGGGTGTGGGGGTGGGGTGGGGATGAGAACAGTGTAATGGTTACTGGAATTAACAGGACAGAAGGACCAGAGAAATTTTTCTGCAAAGGGCAAGATAGTAAATATTTTGGTCTTACAGATTCTGTATGATTTCTGTCAAAACTACTCAGCTCAGCAGCAGTAGAACAAAAGCAGCCACAAACCATATATTAACAACGGGTATGGCTGTGTTCCAATAAAATTTTATTTACAAAAATGGAAGGTAGGCCAGATTTGGCCACTGAGCCACAGTTTGTTGACCCCTAGTGAAGAACAGAAAGTATACAGATCATCTTTCTGGTGGTGTACCTGAGAAAAAGCAGACAAAGCAGCAGCCTCCATTAGAAAGGGTTTGAGGAATATATTCTTTTCAAGGTTTCTATGCTACAATAAATAGGCGATGTAGATGATAGGAATACGTTCAGATTCAGAGAAGTGAATTCTTCTATGATACCTCAAGAATCCTAGAGATGTCTAAAGATCAATTAACTCAGACTTACTTTAAAATATCTGCCGTTTCAAAGGGAAAGGATTAGGGCCAACCCTTGTGTTCTCTTCCTAATAAGCAATTTTACTAATAAGCAAGATCTTATTTAATACCTACTTCATAATATTTAAAGTGTAAGAAAATTAGCATGAAATATATTTCTTTCATTTCTATCGGAGGAAAATGCAATCCTGAAAATAAATTTCAAGATCCACAAACTCTTAAGTAGCATTTAATAAAAAACAATGAACCCTTAGTTTTCCCTAAGAAGCCAGAAATAAAAAGTTAAAAGACATTCACAAATATCGCAAGATAAACTGTCTGTTAAATGAAACTGTGTAACCTCAGAGATTAAAAAATAGGTATCAACTCAGAACTAAGATACTGCATGAATGTATTCTTAAGTCTTCTGAGCTCAATCACATTGGATATTAAGATGAAAGCAGCTTCTCTTTCACATTCCTTTCCTTAACCTGGGATAGCTCAAGAACCAAAAACAGATACTGAGAAGTGGAGAATATATAAAAACATTCTCTATATCATGGGTACAATATAGTTTTAGGGACGCTTTAATTATACAACTGAAACCACTCTTTAAAAACAGCAGGTTTGCCTTACTTAAGATTCTGTTTGTCAAATTTTCCATTAAGTGCTTTGATTCTGCCTTGTGGGTACCAGGAATTAACATATACTAATAGTGAAATGTCAGTAAGACAAACTTTAAAAGGACCTAATCAAAGGTCATAACTCAGTTTATCTTGTTTTCCTTAGGCATTGCCCTTCCAGTTCCTATTAAAGGGATAGAAACTGATGTAGCTAACCCACACAACATCACCTGTGGGCTGACAAAGGATCGTTTTGGCAGTTTCATGCTCTTTGGCTCACTGGCTTCCTTCTTCACACCTCTGACCATCATGATTGTCACCTACTTTCTCACTATCCATGCTTTACAGAAGAAAGCTTACTTGGTCAAAAACAAGCCACCTCAACGCCTAACGTGGTTGACTGTGTCCACAGTTTTCCAAAGGGATGAAACACCTTGCTCATCACCAGAAAAAGTGGCAATGCTGGATGGTTTTCATAAGGACAAAACTCTGCCCAATGCAAGTGCTGACATACTAATGCGAAGAATATCCACAATAGGAAAAAGGTCAGTGCAGACCATTTCCAATGAACAGAGAGCCTCAAAGGTTCTTGGGATTGTATTCTTCCTCTTTTTACTTATGTGGTGCCCCTTTTTTATTACAAATGTAACTTTAGTTTTATGTGACTCGTGCAACCAGACAACTCTCAACATGCTCCTGGAGATATTTGTGTGGATAGGCTATGTTTCCTCAGGGGTGAATCCTCTGGTCTACACCCTCTTCAACAAGACATTTCGGGATGCATTTGGCCGGTACCTCACCTGCAATTACCAAGCCCCCACATCAGTAAAAACCCTTGAAAAATGCTCCAGTAATATCTACTTCCGGAATCCAATGGCAGAGAACTCTATATTTTTTATGAAACATGGAATGCGAAATGGCATTAATCCTGCCATGCACCAGAGCCCAATGAGGCTCCGAGGTTCAACCATTCAGTCTTCATCCATCATTTTACTAGATACACTTCTCCTCACCGAAAATGAAGGTGACAAAGCTGAAGAGCAAATCAGTTATGTATAGCCGTAATGGCACAATTTTAATATAACGATGAGTAAGATGATGAGGAAAATATAAATATACCAAGAATTATATAAAGAACTTTATATCATGTATCAAAAATCATCTCTTTAAATTAAGAATTATGTATTAAGATTATACAATTTTCTTTATTTGGGCAAAATTATTCTATTATTAATAAAAAATCATTTTTGTATAGCTGAAAATTAAAACAATCCAGCACCCTGGTTAAATGTTAAGATAGTCAAATGAAATAAAATAAATCAATAAACTTGTTTAGAAAAAAACAATGTCACCATACAAAAAAACAATGTTACCATAAGAATTTATTTAGTTCCTAACTGCATGCAAAGCTATGCCAAGAATGAAATAAACAAAACAAACAAGCATTAACCTTGTCTTCAAGGCCTTAAAAGCATAAGGCATAACACAGAACAACAGTGCTAAGAGGTCTAAAAATAAGAGTATAAAATAATGATCACAGCTGAAGATAAGCTAAGATTGCCATTTACATTTAGGCTTAGTTAAATGTGGGCTTCCCTGGTGCTTCCATGGTAAACAATCTGCCTGCAATGCAGGAGACCCAGGTTTGATCCCTGGGCCAGGAGGATCCCCTGGAGAAGGGAATGGCTACCCAATCCAGTATTCCTGCCTGGAGAATTCCACGGACAGAGGAACCTGATGGACTATAGGTCATGGGGCCACAAAGAGTTGGACATGACTGAGTGACTAACACTTTCACTTTCACTTTAGTTAAATGCAGCCACAATTTTGCACTGATCAGGCAAATGTCTTGATGAAACGGGGTAGTAGGGAGGACAGTAGCTGGTTATCACACAAAAGAATAGGATCTTGGAATTACAGCTGTTGGTTAGATGACTCATACCAGACATTTACTGAGCAAAGGCAGGTTTACCAGAGGAAGAAAAAGCAAATGAAAACAGTCTTGGGTACATGAACCTTATGTTTCTCAAACAGCATGTGTAAACTGAAGGCAGGGGACTTTAATCCAGGAAACCAAACTTTAATAAATTTGTAAATAAGATCATGGCTGCCCCAGCTTGCTTGAAGAATTGGTTGAACTTCTGGCACAGAATTTTTTATTCATCTGTTTGTCATTTTACTTTGCACTGCTAGATGTGGAATAAATCCAATCCGTGTCATTTACTAGTTATTAATAATTTGAGAACTTGGTTTTCACTGCAGCACCTTAGACAAGTTGATTACATTTAATTTTCTTCATCCATGACATTTTAGACAAAAGCATTCCTAACATCTCTTCTAGTTTCTACTTCTTATAAGAATCATATTATGAAGGAAACACACACACACCAAAACCCTGAATAGCCTTTTAGAAATAAAAAGCACGTAATTCATTAGCTGGATCTGAGTATCCTTGGTAGTAGTCTTGGTGGTAGAGATCTTAGCAAAGCCTAAAAGCAGCTCAGGGAAGACATCTGCTGCTGAAACTGGGAATTGAGCATATGTGTGAGCTACAGTAAATACAAGGGCAGAAATGAATTTTGCTAATTAGAGATCAAAGCACAGTCAGGTTAAAAAGGGAAAAAAAACAGTTTTCATGAAAGCTCTACTTCCTGTGTGGCAGAATATACACAGGAGGTGACTGAGTTATATGATATAAAATATAAGGTGACTAACAGGAAGAATTAGTAGCCGATAATGAATAAATAAAGGAAGAGACCGTGATGAGTAAGATTCTTTATACAGGCCAATAGTTATTAAGGGTACACCTAAAAGAATATATTTCTCATATGAAAATTATCTTCTCATAAAAAGCCCTCCCTAAAAGGCAAAAATAAAACCATTTATTTTTGTTTTTAAATTGTGTCTAAACTTACAGCAAAAATAAGGAAAGGTTAGCATCACAGGTTGGCTGGAATGATAGGCCAAAGACAACAGGAAGGAAACAGAACTACTCAGCTTCTATTCTGCTTCCATCTTTTGTCTCAAGAGAAGGATTTTTAGACCAGAAAAAGTAATGTTGTTAAAACTGATCAAAATGTAAAATAGGTGAAGAGACTGGCTACCTTAAATGGGTTCAAGTCTCTAAGCTAAATGAATCACATCCCTGAAACAGAACCTGTGAAAATAATTATAGAACCATCGCTGACAAATCTGAGGAAAAACAGAAAATGGCAAAGGTACAAAAGGACTGTAAGTGGCAAATATCCTAACATTCAAAAAGAGAAAAAAGGGATGGGAATCAAGAAATTTAAACTGTGGAGTCTATTGTAGATCTTCTGAAAAAAACATGGAATAGCTTAATACAAATAAGTTTTATCAGATCTTAGAAATCAATGAACACCTGATACTTCTTATGAATTTACTAAAAACAGTAATAACCAATTAACCACATACTCTGTTTTAGAGGTACCAGACTAGTTTTTAGTCACTAAGTTGTGTCCAACTCTTTTGCGACCCCATGTACTGTAGCCCTCCAGGCTCCTCTGTTCATGGAATTTCCCAGTCAAGAAAACCAGATCTGTATAAATACCACATCTTCAGGATTTAGAGAAAGCTCTCCAGTGTCTTTGTGAACAAGCTGGGCAAATGAGGGTTAGAGGATAATACACTGAAGGAGATTAGTATTTTGTTAAATAACCTCCTTCAACAAAACTGACTGGTGAAAGGAGAAACCTATTAGCATGCTATATGGATCTGTGCTTTGCTGTTTTAGTCAACATTTTTATCCAAATTAGGAAAAAAGTATTTATTAGTGTCTGCAGTAAACGGCTAACTTTCTATCTTGCATCTCAGAGAAGGTCCTCTAACCAGTTCAGTGGATGTTGAATGAATATTTGTTGGAAAAAATATTTATGTATACATATTATTTGTTGAATTACATTATTATCTTTACAACAAAGGTTCATTTCAGGAACTTGGGGTAGAAAATCTGTACCAGAGATTAAAAGAACATGAAACTCATCTTACTTGTCCTTCAGATTCCCATCCCTACATTACGGTATAATTTCATCACAATATCCAAAAAAAAAAAGAGTATCCAATATCCAGCAGTATCCAAAAAAAAGAGCTGAAAAAAGTATTTTTAATTTTCCTATGTTGCACTTTAAGATAAAGTACCTTAGTGAAAAGAAACTATGAGAGATCAGAGAGCAGAACAATTTTTTTTTTTTTTTTTTTTAGAACAATTTTTAAGAAGTGTTACTGCATCTACCGCCACTATTAACAATTGCCACTGCTCACACCCACTTGACTAGCACTTACTAGTGCCAGATACCATTCTAAAGGCTTTCGATATATTAACTCACTCAACTGTCAAAAAACAGTCTTAGATACTATTACTCTACCTCTTTTACAGATGAGGAATCTGAAATTCAAAGGGGCTAAGTAACAAGCTCTAAGTCACTCAGACTTTGAGTGACTCAGTAAGTGGCAGAGCCAAGATTCAATTCTGGCAGGTTGGTTCCAGAGTGTGTCCCCTGGATCACAACCATACTATAATGCTATGGGCATCTCCACATCTGCAATTTTTTCACTCTTCTGTATTTTAACAAAGCCTATTACTTTTCGCTCTCATTAAAGAGCTTCAAGAACTCTACATGCCTGTGTGAAAGACAGCATCCCATTTGAATTACCAATATATCAATGCATGGGAAGAGGACTACTACTTCTCAAATAGCATCCCAATCTCTTGAAACATACTGGCTTCTTTTTCAGAGGAACAGCACTAACTCTATTATTAAACGGTCCACATTCTGAACCTAGATAGATTTCTCAGAGAATCAGTTGCTATGTAACTGCTAATTACAAATAGAAATGGAATATAAACAGAATCAGAAGTTAGAAATTATTACCTGAAGAGAATGAACCCAAGTGATTCTACTGCTGCCCTCCTGACGTCATCATTAACATCACTTACCTAGGAAAAATTTCAAAGGATGATTGTATTATATACTACATGCATTCTATTACTACGATCATTATATTACATGCATTCTATTACTAGAATAAACTGATATGAGTGGCCCACATAATTTTAATGTAATTAGATCTCATTTGTATATTACCATAGCTATCTTCCTATTCAGTTTCACTTTCAGCAGTTTCAGTTACCCACAATCAACTGTGGTCTGAATTTATTTATTGAATGGAAATATCCAGAAATAAACAACTCACAAGTTTTAAACTGCACGCATTCTGAGTACTGAGATGAAATCTCATGCTGTCCCACTCTGTCCCACCTGGGCTATAACTCATCCTTCTGGTCAGTGTATCAAGCTGTATTGGTCATTCACCCATCAGTCACTTAGTTATCAGACCCATGGAGTATTACAGTGCTTATATTCAAATAGGGGTTCCCTGGTAGCTCAGCTGGTAAAGAATCTGTCTGCAATGCAGGAGACCCTGGTTTGATTCCTGGGTTGGGAAGATCCCCTGGAGAAGCGATAGGTTACCCACTCCAATATTCTTGGGCTTCCCTGGTGGCTCAACTGGTAAAGAATCCACCTGCAATTCAGCAGACCTGGGTTCGATCCCTGGGTTGGGAAGATCCCCTGAAGGAGGACATAGCAACCCACTCCAGTATTCTTGCCTGGAGAATTCCCAGGGACAGAGGGGCCGAGTGGGCTGCAGTTCATAGGATCACAAATAACCTCTAGTTTACTTAATAATGGTTACTTAAAGTTTATTATTGTTTACTTAATAATGGTTAAGTTTATTTAGTTAACTTACATTATTTAATTTACTTAATAATGGTTTACTTAATAAAGGTTATATTAGTTTACTTAAAATGGCCCCAAAGCACAGAAGTGGTGATACTGGCAATTTGAGTATTCTCTTACTATGCCTACTTTATAAATTAAACTTTACTAAAAGTATGGATGTATATAGGTATATGAAAAAACATAGTATATGTTTCAGTACTATCCATGGTTTCAGGCATCCATTGGTTGTCTTAAGAACATATATCCATGTATAAGGTGGGGGGACTACTATATTCCTCTATTAGAATGTCTTACCCAAATTTGGAAAGATTCATCTAAGAATTTATTCATTTCAAGACTTAAAAGCCTTTACAGCTTGGTGAAGTTTAAGATTCAGGGATAGTTTTAAAGATTATTTCAGCTGTACCATAGCATTTGTGGCCCACACCAAAAATCTAATCGTTCCTTCAATGTTGTTTTAAAAAAAATATGCCCTAAACTTAAGCAAAAGACAAACATCTAAAACATACCACATGTTGCACTGATAAATAATAAATTGCTAATAAATACTGGGTGATGTGAACATCTCTAGGAAGAAAAAAATAATAGTAGTACTAAACCCTTTCTTGCATGGGAAGATGATCTTGGGTCTACCTTCTCCCAGCACCAAGATGGTAGAAATGTACTGGGTGAAGACATATGGAATGTCCACTGTGCCATCAGGCAACATCACTGAAAAACTACACCTGGATTGGGTGACTATGAGTGGAAAAGTCTACTGGAAAACATGGGCCCTGGCTCTCCTGGGCAGTGTGTCCCGTGTCACAGAGCATGTCCCTCAGGGTTACCTGGAGGCTAACTTCACAGGCTGAAAAAAGAAGT